AAAAAAACGCTGAGAAGTTTATTATTATCTGTGCTGTCAATTACGTAGCTTTTGAGATGTCATTTAGACTAAATACTGAATACAGCCTGTTTTGGTACCACTTCATATCACTCTTTCGTTCATCGGCGTTTACAAAAATTCAGAGAAGAAAAAAAAAACGATTTCAGTTGATCTCAGATGTACAATATTTTGGCCTTGTTCGTCATTCTGTCAGGAGCGAAAGGTCGGAGCCCATATAAGATCTCTTTAGAGGAGTGTTCTCCTTTACTCATTTTTTTCTCATTACAGCTATACTTCGTCCAGAAGAAGCGGCGAAACTTACCGGTGGGGCTCTTGTCGACTATTTGAAGAAACATCAGACACTGTTTCAAGTACGTTCAATTTTTGCTCGGCGCTAGCTAGTGCTCCGCATCGAAAATAGCAAGGCGTGGGATGATCTTTGTAGTGCTACTGCAAAAATTCAGGTCGACGAATCACAGAAGGCACGTACCTACAGTAAACTTTTGATGTCCAAGAAATATCATGAAATATTGGAGGATGAAAAGCGAGTCAAGATTCAACTAGATGAGGAGCCGCCGGAAAGGTATGTAGAACTGACCATGTCTGTGCTACATGATCAAAATACCATCACTAATTTCTTCCACCGTCCATTGTGGATTCCAGTTCATTACGTATTTTATGATTCGGAGAACTCGTTCCCCTTAGCAAAGACTTTAAACAGCGACAGAGTTGTACACTCAAAGCTTGACACCCACACTACCGCGATCTGCGATAAAAAAAGACATAATCAGGTAAAACTTTCTGCGATAAAGTAACATGTCCATTTCTCTCCAATTCTGATATACAATAAACCGAGGACGCTGCAGTCTCCACATAGGATCTGATTTACTGTAAAGTTAGCAGACTTATGCGCTTCTGTGAGAACGTAATCAGCTGACCTGAAAGTTGCATATTCTTAACATAGGAGGCGTGGAGGGATTACACAAGATTGTAATTAATAGGAT